TTGGCTTCGGCGGAGCGATGGTAGCCGGAGGCAAACTGTTGGATGCCACGATGTTACTGGCGATGGATCCGCTTCCCACAGCCGAACCCACCACTTTGGGGACACTGCTGGCCACGTCTGTGCTGCCCAACTTGAGGGCTGCCATGCCCTGGTCGATGGTGTTCATGCCAGGAGCCTTGTTGAGGGTCTCGTTGGCGAAGGCTGACTGCCCATCAATCATGGCCCCTCCCAGCGAGCTGGGGGCGTAGGCATAATTGCTGCTGTAGCCAGAGCTTTGGGTGGATTGTCCCTGAGAACTGTTATTCCCCCAAGCTGAGAAGTCAATCCCGCTCGGGAAGAAGTTAAAGCCATGCTGCCCGAGGAAGGGAGTGCTGCCAAGGGCCCCTGGCTGCCCAAACATGGCATCTGGGAGGAAGTGGGGCTCCCCGTTGCTCAGCTGTCCGTAGGAGGTCAGGTAGGGCATGGGAGGGTCTCCCCCCGTGGACCAGGCAGCTTCACCCAAGGAGTAGGAGAATCCGATGGAGGGACTGTAGTAGTTGGGTAGGTAGGAATCAGACATTGCAGTGTATGCATTGTTCTGCAAGAAAACCACAGAGACATAAGCACTGCGTAGTTAGAAGGAGCTGAATCAATTTCAAGGGACCAGGAATCAAGCCAGCTTCAACTTCCCGTGCCCCACCCCTCCCTACCTTAGGGCTGGGCAGGTAAACAGGCCCAGCCTTGAACACCTCCTTTGTTACAAGGGCTCCACAATCTGTTTCAGTGCCAGAAAGGTTAAAGACAAAGGCTCGGGAAGCTTCCCATGCTTCGATGGGAACATGTGGTGTTCCCAATGCACAGTGTGGGGCTGGACACTGGGTTGCCCAAGAGCTCCTGCTCAGGCTACAAAACCAGTATCTTACCTTGCATGCAAATATCATCTTCTATTAGTAGCTGCTCCCAAAGAGAAGCCTGTGTAATGTACTTATCGGTCCTTAGTCTGGTGTTCCAGGGAGGATTTGGGGGAAGGATGCAGAGAGAAGTGGAATAAAGAGAAAAAAAGTCCAGTGGAAGCACAAAGCCAACTGTCCCTAACTGCCCTCCTTAAACTTACTACCCATGACAAGCTTTTCAGCTCAACTTAAAAAGTTTCAGAGCTCACAATATTCCAAGAACTCAGTCAAACAGGGATTTACAGCCCATTCCTTAAAACATAAACTGCTCCAGTGCTGTGGCCACACTTAAACACCTGAAAATGGGAAGTAAACAACAGGATTTCAATAGGAGCCTCTCCCAGCACAGTGACAGGAGCAGCACAAGCAGGTTTCAAACCTAGAGAGGAAAAAAGCCCTGCTCCATGCCTTGCTCTCCCTTTTAACATCCAAGCAGCCTTTAGGTTACAAAAACAACCACCTAATATTACAATCAGGGAAGTCTCAGACACCCCCAAGATTTGCTTACATGAAAAACATCTGTTATTTCCCATTCCAACCCAGGTCCCCTCCAGGGAGCAGTTCAGGCTGTGCCTGTGACATTCTCATCAGGAACCTGAACCTGTGTGCAGCCAGGCTCGTGCTGTCCAGCCCCTGACACACCAGCCCAGTACAGATGGGATCAGAGGCAGGTTCAGATCCCAGTTAAAAGCTTGGCTTGCAGCAGGCTCTGCTCCATTTTTCGTTGAATCATGTTTCCACGTGCCAGGCGCAGTTCCCAGAGGACTTCATGCCATGCTGGAATCCACAGAGGCTCTCAAGATGGCTCTGGCATCCACCAGAAAGAGCTGGTTTGCCACTTCACCTTCCACTGAGTTACAGGAAAGCAACAGGTTTGAGGCTAGTCCAGCCCCAATAGAAATAACATAACGTGCTCAGAGATAAGATTTCTGTGTACTTCATGGTGCGAAGGGATGAGAACTCAGTGACTCTCCCCAGCCTTTGTTTTCCCACAAAAGGGGTCCCAAAGGCAAATAATAACAGAACTCACTCTCATCCAGGGTTTTACTAATCGAGGAACTCAGTCCTCCTGAAGCCATAGCTCAATCTGTCAACAGCACCAACACTGGCACTAATTTGTAAGGCAAATGAAGGAAGTTAAAACCCACATTATTACTTGGAACCAGCAAAGTCCCTTCACAAGTTAATCCCCTCATTATAACAGTAACATTTTCCCTTCTAAAACTCAGCTTTAATGCAACAGGAGCATGCTGGCCCATACCTAAAACCTGAGGCAGAGCTGTCTCCTCCCCACAGGAGCACACAAACCACATCACTGTCAGCTTAAAATCTGTCCCCTCGTCACCTCAAAGTATTTCCTTACATGTCATTATGCTCAACTTCTGAGGGTATTTAACACAGTGTCTCAAGCTATGACCTGTGCAGCACTCAGCAGCCACACACAGGTGAGGAGGAGGGAGCAAAGCAGTTCCCCAGCTAAGCACAGGCAGCTCAGAGCAGATCTGGGACAGGCTCAGTGCTGTTCTCCACCTGAATGTCTGGAACATGTCACTATCAAACATAGCACCTCGCTCTGCTTCTCTGCACAACTGACACACTTGCTGATTAACATGCAAATAAAGTCCACCAGCTTCTCATCCTCTCCATGACTAAGACTTTTTGAACAGTTATTTCCTCAAATTCACTGTTCCTCTTCCTCTCACAGCAGAAGCAACTCTAAGTGAGCCTCGGTGCTGCTCTCCAGCTTTGGTTTTGAAGTGATTGAGGAATCATTTACTGTGCATCTGAGCTTCAAAATACACAGTAACCTCCTCCAGAGGCTGCAAGTAACAGCCACACCTGAAACAGCAGCTGAGGACTGAGGAGCAGTGAAACTTTACAACTTGGTTACTTCACGTGCCTGCAGAGAGCTTGGGGAAGCAACTCCAGAATGGATTGAACTCACTATTCAGAGCCCTATCTGTAACTTCCTTTCCCACCCTCTCAGCAAAGAGATGAACACTTGGATAACTTTGGATTTTTGAGCACAATTATAGCCCAATCCAGACTCAACCACAAGGGTTTGAGTTCTGTTTCACACAGCAGAGTGAGGAACTGAGACAGAGTCACCTAAAGGTTCCACTCTGAGTTCACCTGGTGGTTTCACCTCAGTTTCTGCCTCCTGAGGCACATCCAATCACTTCCTGATTTTGATAACATTTTAACCAGTGTGACACACACAAAAGGAATTTAAAGATCCACAAATTCTTCATCAAACATTCAAAAAAGGATAAATTTCTGTCTTGCTTGACATGAAAAAAATAACACACTGACTAGTAAAAATGACGAAAAATACAGAAAGGGAAACCTGAACTACTTATTTTAACTGATCACAACGGGGAAGAGAAGCCAAGAGAATGAACTAACTGCTCTGGTGCTACTACAGATGTTTATCTCTGGTGCTTACTTGTACATCTAATCAGCTGAACTCCATCTGTCTGTGTCACTCCCCTGCAGCTCATTAAGGAAAACAAACAGAAACCAGTTAACAGTGGAGCTAATCTAAGAGAAAGTGAAGAGGAAAAGTAGCTGCAAGCCTAACTTCAGGAGCTGCTCACAAACTCCAGCTCCACTTGTAAACAAAGTTCCCAAAGGCTTTATCACATGTGAGCTCTGGGGTTTTTTTGGGGTGAAACACAGAGAAATCCCCTAACAGACACTGTCAGTTGTCTTGGTGCAGAGATAAGAAGGTTGATCTGATTCCCCAGAAGCCCTTGGAGTGCAGCAGCCTCATGTGAAGCAACTTCCCAACCCAACCCAGCACATCTCATGTGACGTAAAGAACCAGAAACCCACACAGACACAACAGTAAAACTGAAAGAGCAGAACTGGTGCCTGCGACACGTTGACAAAAACGAGCTGAAAAACCAACTGTAGGAAGTCCTCAGAAAGTTGCCAAAACCCTCCTTCCTCACCCACCACAAGCTAAGGGCAGTCAGTGCTTTCTGCCTGCAGCAAGTGTAGGATGGAATATAAGGTAAGGCAGCATGGAATATTAAGGCAGAGATCGAAATGCAACCAGAGGGGATGTGGAACACCCAGGGAGGCCAAATTTCCCTCTGGCAGAGCAGCAAGAAGGCAGCAGGCTGTGGGTGCTTCCTGCCTGCAGCAGCACTCACCGGCCGGGCCTGGGGGCTCAGGTAGGGCTCGAAGTCATCATCATTCAACCCATCCTTCTGGTGCACTGAGCCGTTTTGCACTGGGGAAGAGATGTGCCTCATTAGCAACAAAACACACAACAACCTCCCAACGTTTCATCAGCTCAAACGATTTCAACCCAAAGCTTCGAACGCAACGAGCTGCTGTCGGTTCTAACACACCACGCTCAGCCCAGCGGTTCACACAGACACACACACAGCACACAAACACCTCCTGCAAACCCTCCCCAGCAGCCGCGCGGGGTGTTTCCCTCCCGAATACTCTGCTGTAAGGCCAAACGAGCCCGGCAGAGATCTCCCCGAACCTCCCGCAGCCCCCGCGGGCTCTCACCTTTGTTGCCTTGGCCCTTGGGTCTCTGGCGCGGCAGCAGCACGGGGAGAGAGAGAAAGAGAGAGGAGAGCCGTGAGTCAGGGCAGCCCCGGCGGGACCAGCACGCGGGGGGAAGTCTAGAAAGATCAGGCCTAGAGGGGGAAGCCTGGACCGGGTGGAGACAGACCCGGCCTGGAGGGGACGAGTCCGGTGGGGGAAGCCTGAGCCGATGGGGACAG